TATTTGATTGAGCCTCATCCTCAAGTCTTGTGTTTATCCCTCGGGATAGATACAGGATTTTAGGTAGAGCGCTCTTTCATTTAAACTGTGAAAAATATGAGGTCAGTTTGATTTCGTATTTTTCTAAAATTATATATATATATACATAAATTAAAAAGTCCTTCCGAAGCGGGCGACGGGATTTCGATTCCGGCTGCCGACAGCTTCTTACGGGCGACCCCCCAAACAATCTCTTCCTTTCTCCTTTTTTGTGCCGACAGTTTCACAGTGGAAGATATATGTTTGAGGAAGGAGATGTGTAGATTGTGTGTCACTCTCCAAGTGAGAGATTTGTTGTTGAAAGTGGAGTCTGACCCACTTATATCTGACAATTTTGATGTTGAAAAGCCACACCTGTTCAATTTCCTTGTTAACCGGTCCCGCCTTTTTCTTTGCTAAAACTGTTCTCGCCATTTGAATTAGCAGCAGAGGATTAATTCTCCATTTGCTGTGAAGAGGGCCCCCGCTATTTATCTTTAATTGTAGAATATAAATATCTGATTTGGTGCGTGAGGCTCACGGAGAAGAAAAAGGCAAGGTTGCATTGCAAGGTATCACTCTACAAAAGGTTAGAAGTCACGACAGACCTTTTTGGTTTTTCTTCTTCGGGTTTCCTTGGGATAGAGGAAGAGTTCTTTGGGCTTCCACGGGGCAGTGGAAGAGAAGTGCAAGGAGGAGTAGTTCCTTGCGGCAGAAGGAAAAAAAAGAAGAAGAAGAAGAAGATTGTTCTCCCTAGGCTTCTTCTTGGTGGCTTGTGGCTGAAGAGAAATTGTATTTATTTCTCTTGTACGTGTTTTTTCTTCGGTGTATCTCGATGTAGAGTTTCTTCGGTGTATTTCGGTGTAGAGAGAGAAGAACAGAGAGAGAAGAAGAAAGAGCAACAAAGTGAGAGATTCCTCTTGTAAGTCGAGGTGATCGACTGGTGTAAATTCTTCAAGTAGTAAAATCCTCTACAACCTCATGGACGTATGTAATTTGCCGAACCACGTAAATCTGTGTGTTCCGTTGTGTGTTGTTCGTTTTTGGTGTGATTTTTTTTTTGTTCTATTTTTCCCTTCGTCGATCGTTTTCCTATTTGATTTATAGATATACAACATCAACTGATATATTTAGATCTAGCCACAACAATCGATATCAGTTCTCCACCTCTTAAGCTCCACATTCCGAATCGGTCTTTGGAGGCTCACGAATCATACTTGTGAGGTGACCGAACTTCCTACTTCTTTTGATGAACAAAGCAACGGTTTGGGAGCATCGAAGGAAGTTGCTGCGTTCAACTTATGAGTTATGATCAAGAAATTCATGTTGGTTTCTGATCCTCCGGTCTTCATGGGAGTGGAAATTGGAGTTGATCCTTCCATGGAATCAAGAACACCTTCCGAAGGTGTTTCAGAGTTGGAGGAATCTGCCATAATGTTGACTGAACCAAAGGAGATGTTGAGGTTCTGAGCTGATGTACTCTGGTAGGGTTATGGCAGTGAACTGCAAGAATCACGAAGGACCAAGGAAACCATGCTGTCAAGGAGGGAACAGCAGAGGACTTGTCGTGAGTTTCCTGTAGAAGCGTGATCACACAGCAAATAACGGCAGAGCAGAGGAAATTCTGTAGCTGCAATTGGAACAGCGGGAACAGTTGATATAGCGGGAACAATTGGAACAGCGGGAACAGTAATATATCCTGCGGCTGTAATTGGAAAAGGCAGATCAATTGAAAACGGCAGAGCACATGGAAAACGACAGAGCAATTGGAACCAGCAATGTAATCCTGCAGCTGCTGTAGCCAGCAATGGAGGCCGGCTGCTATGAGGTGCCAATTGCGGGAACCGGTGGAGGAGGCCGGTGACTGATAGATTTAGGGTTAGGCTCTGATGACATGTTGAAATTTGGAATAGACCGGCTCAATTTTATTGATAGAAGAGTAGGTATTTAACCCAATTACAATAGGCACAATAATGAAAAGAAATAAAACAAAAAAATAAATAAATAGGAATAGAGTAAAACTGAATAAAACAAAAAAGAAATACATGATGAGGGAATTAAAGCTAATATGCAAGAAATAAAAATTATAATGGCTAGGGATTTGATTGGGATTTGATTGCCGTTATAAATATAATAATAATAATAATTGTTATTATTATTTATTATTATTATTATTGTCATCCTGACTTTTGTGAAAGTTATTTGTGGTGGATATACTTGAAGCATGATAAGGTTTTTTTCGTTTACATAATCAAATGGTTAAAAACTTTTGATGATAAGAAGCTCATAATCGTAAACAAAATCATTCATAAAGTGTCTTTAGTGAATAACTGTTGACTCTATGAAAGTTGCTTCTTTTTCTGATTTGAAGTACTTGCTTAGTTCATTTTTTTCGTATGATAACATCTATGACCTGTCTTCAGGTACAGGTTTAAATTCAGGATACCCTCATATTTCTCGCTAGTCATTCGAAGGTAATCAATGTACCCTGTGTAGCTTCCCCTATCTTAAATGTGCATTGATGCCTTGGCTCTCAATTAAATTGGAAAATCTGCTTCCTGGCACATTATTTAACTTTTTCAGAAATTAAACAAGCTAGTATGTCTACCATATGTGTAATATTGATTGTCCATATTTAGATATTTCCAGCCTTGCAGTTCTGGAAGGTATTGCAATTGGTTTCGATCCAAAGTATAAAGTTTTGAGTAGCTCATATCCATGGATTGCAAGAAAAGTTTTAACTGATAGCTCTCCACAACTTAGATCTACCTTACACACCCTCCTTTATAAGGTATTCATGTATGCATTGTCGACGTCGATGTATTAGTTGCGTTGTTTGCTTTCTAAACCATGTGCTTTCTGATCCTTAATCTCTTATTTCTCTGAGCTCCTGAAACTACTTTTTTGCCTCATCAGGAAGGCGTTTTCAGGATCGATCGTTTGGAATCCCTGTTGACGGAGGTCTGCTTTATGTCTTGTTTTATTTTTTAATTTTTCTTCTCTGCTATTTACATGATTAGCCAATCAAGCTGGCCCTTGAAAACCTTTATAAAAAAACTCTTACTTCGGTCAATTAACTTGAACTCGCACCATTGAGATTGAGATAAGTGAAAACAGTTTGTAAATAATATATTTGGAAAACAGCCCCCTAAAGTTGTTGTATCCATTGCTTACCTTGCTCTTGCAGCATTTTGTGTTTACTTTGCCAGTGCATGCTTAATCTTGACATTTTCTTACAATGTCATCAAAATTTAAGTTTTCTTTGGGGTTGTTTGCGACGTGGGAGCTTTTCCCTGAACAATTTTCTTGCGGTACTGTAGCAGCGACAGTACTGTAGGAGAACATATGACAAGAGATGGGAGTCTGGCCTCCGGAATAGTGCCATTTCCAATCTTATTCTTTTTTTCCTATTATCCTTTGTTCCTTTTTAGTCCTTCCCTATATATATGTATGTTAGGGTTTGGATTAGTAGTTTTGGGTGTGTTTTTATCAAAACCGCCAATGTCTCTTCTTTCCTTCGAAAGTTGTATCCTAGAGTTCTAACTGATGCTTCAGTTGTATCTTGGTTTATCGGTGGGGGGTTTTTTTCCTACCCCTTCCTGTATCCCTCTTGCTTCGCTATCACATCTTCCTT